CTGAAAAAGAACTGTTATTAGGTACTGTGGAGTTGATTAGGACTGACAGTGATACCATATAACAGAGCAGAACTGCCCCATAGGGTTAATCTTCAGGAAAGCAGACTGACAAAGTCTTTCTCCACTGGGGGTGCTTGATGGGTCTGATCCATCCACCTTTCAGTTAGCAGTCTATACTACCAGGGATCCTTTTTATGTGGGTGGCGGTTATTGTTAAGTGTTCTCAAGTCAGTTCCAACTCGTAGGAACACTATGTAGGGTTTCCAAGAAGCAGTTAGTGAGCTTAAACTACCAGACCTGCAGAAAGCAGACCAGTGCTTACCCCACAATGGTACACCAGGACTGTAATTCTACATAGTTGTTGTGGTTAAGTGTCATTGAGTTGGTTCTGACTCACATTGACCCTGATTTTTGAGCTATAAATCTTTGTGCTAGCAGAAAGTCTCATCTTTTTCACACAGATTGGCTGTGGGCTCCTATAAATTGTGGTTCATAGACCAGTGCTTATCCTAAAGAGCTACATAAAAAGAGGCCTTGTGTGGTGCTGTAGGATAAGCACTGAACTGCTAACTGCAAGGCTGGCAGTTAAAGACCACTAGCTGCTTCTTGAAAACCCTTTTCAGGGTTGCTATGAGTTGGAACTGACTCGACAACACTTAACAACAATGTATACACTGGAGTCCAGGTGTGGAAACACAAGATAAGCACCCGAATGCTAACCACAAGATTGGTGGTTCAAACCCAACAGCTGCTCCTCAGAAACCCTATACAGGATCTCTATGAGGTGGAACCACCTAGACAGCACTTAACAACAAACAAAACAATGTATAGCTGGAAGGAGACCAGGTGTTAAAATAGTTAAGTGCTCAGTGGCTACCAGACAGATTTGGTGGTTCAAAACTACCAACCAAGGCAATGAGATTAGACAGAGAGCAGCAGAGGACTACAAGCCCACAGACTGAGGAAGGCAGTGTGTCTGCGGGCAGGAGACTGGCTTGTAAAATGTGCCCTTTGGACATTTAAATGAGTATATATATATTCAATGTGGTATGTGTACATAAAAAAAAAAAAAAAAAAGAGGTAAATACAGTTAGCTGAAGGTACAAGGAGGGGACTGTAATCATTACAATGATTTTCTGAATGTAAAACAAACGATTTTGTCTGTAAACCATTCACTCAATTCACAATAAAAGCTTAAAAACAAAAAAACACTACCAACCAAGCTACCAGCCACTCCACTGGTGATAGAGACCTGGCGATCTGCTCCTCTAACAATTTTAGCTTAGGAAACCTCGCAGAGTAGTTTTACTCCATTCTATTGGGTTGCTAGGAGTTGGAATCAATTGGATGGCATTCAATTAACAATAATATGTAATTTCTAAAAGTGGAAAAAAGACAAACAAGAAAAGGAATTACTAACTAGATTGAGCAATTCATTGTTTAGCTCAAAATTTAGAACAAAAAAATTTAAAGAAACTGTTTTGAGGTAACTTCTGCTTGAAATAGTTCCCTTATTAAAATATATTCTTATATAAATTAATAAACATTATGCATTATCAAGACTATGATGAACTGAGAAATTAATTTTTGTAAATAAAAACCAAAGTTTATTGTTCATTTCTGGGGTAAACTTGTTTAAAATAAATTAAATAACCTAAATATAAAAACTATGAACATATTATTATTTGCCAGGGAGTTTATTCCAAGTCCTGGGACCCCATGTGTGTAAACTGGAATTGCTTCATAGGGTGATCAAGGCTGTGACCTTTAAAAAAAGGATAATGCTAGGCCTATTTACCAAAGCACCTCTGGGAGGGTTCAAACCACCAACCTTTTGGCAAGTACTTGAACACTAAACTATTTGTGATATAAATAAAAGATTATCTGATTGTTTGGCACATAAATTGTATCTCAATAAATTGTTCCAAAACAAAAAATATCTGCTATATCTCTTTTTCAAAAGTTCCAAAGTTCTGGTAGTATTTGATTTCAGTTCTCTAAATAATTCCTACATTTTAGTTCTTTATAATCTATACTATGAACTCACCAAAACAAAACAAAAAGAATATTTTCCTGATTTGCCTTTCTTCTTGAACAATTCCTTACTTTGCTAAAAAGTACCAATTCGTTTGGGTAACTTTTTGATTTAGGAAGATATCTACTGAGAACCTGTAACACTTCTCAGAAACTCTGTATTTCTAAAGTCATTCACAGCATATTGATTCTCAAACTGTAACTACCTTTCCACTGGGATAAAAAACAAGTCTTTGAAAATTAGGTAGAGTACAAATCTTAAGTTGGTGATTCTCAGCTATTCCTCCCAGAGTCTGACAACTGGACCCATGGAAGGGAGGACTTGTGTAGGAGAAATAAGCCCTCCTTACCCTATATCCCACCCTAGACTTAGATCAAAAGACGTTATTGAAGAGAATATGCTAAATGTGTGGACAGTGTTGCTGCTGTTAGATGCTGTTGAGTTATACCAGGCAGAAAAAAGGTTAAGAAACATTGTTTTTACCTAGAATTCTGGATTGTGGATTAGCAGCATCTTATTTATTCACTCCTCAATAATGTATAGGAGAAAAAAAAAAAAAACCAAGATTGGTGAATTTGAGAACAAAGTTTTAAAAATTAAATAACAAAGAATGTCCATGAACAACCATATGCCCAGCTTCTAGATTTTACATTGATTTAGAACTTATGAAACACAAACCTTTATGGCAGAACTAGAAGTCTGTTCCCACCAGGCCCTCATACCTGATAGCAGCCAATCCGGCTCCTTCAAAACTCTGAAGAATTAACTACATCAAGAGTCATCATTTTTATGCATTTCATATTTAAACAGCAAATGTTATAGTTTAAAAAACACTCACAGAAATCTAAATTAATGTGCCTTTTCCTAGACATTTAGTCTTTTGGCCATGAAAACACTGAACAACTGGCAATGTACTTCAAATCTCTGACAGTTATGTCACCAAGGATACTAATATGCCAAGTAAAATTCAACTGTAATGATATATACTAACTAATCTCCTTAAAACAATTAGTCTACAATTTAAACTCTTTCAACTATAATGATATATGATAAAGCTTCTATTCTAACAATAAGTAATTAGAATTCCAGAATAAATTTATATTGGTCACTAAAAGAAAATTTATGTTTTAAAAGAATAAAAGACTTGGTTTTAGATCACAGAAATAATCCATGTTTGAATGTAAGAAAACTGTTAAGTCACCTTTCTCCTATTCTCTTTCTCCTCTTTACAATGTCAAGAATTTCAAGATATATATGGTAAGAATTTATTCTTTCTTTGTAATTTAGAATGCTTCCTTTGGTCAAATGTCTTATTTTCATGACTTTCAAGTCTAGGCTTTCAATTTAATTTATCTGGGAAAGATTTTCTCAAATATATGAGGTAAGGGGTAAAACTCACCTCTCATTCAAGAACTTTCAATATTTATGTATGAGAACTTTTGAAATTTAACTTAGTATTATTTAAAAGAAAGTTATTATTTCCAAACCTAGCTAACATTCTTTCAGCTTTTGAAAAGAACTGGAGCTACTGTCAACAGATGCTAAAAAGCACAGAAGAAACAGACTTTTAGTTCTATAGAGATTCAACATGTCTTTAAAAAACAACCTCAAAAAATACAAAAGAAATCAGTTAGTCAATTTCTCCCTGTGGATTTAAAGTGAAATTTTTCATAAAAATTATTCTCTCTCATGTTTTACTATTTGATACAACTTTTAAATTAAGATTTTTATAATTTAATTTCCAGAAAAAATATTCAGGGCCATTTAGAACCCAGTGAATATAAATTGAAACTATTAAATTTGGTTATAAAATAGTTCGCTAATTCACAATTAAATCCACAGAATCTGTTAGAAAAATGTCTGGCAACGCATGAACAGTGACCAGGGCTGATAAGCTTCTTTGCCAGGATTAAAGTTTTCCTACCCTTGACCAGGAAAACTGTGCACTGGACTATTTGGATATACCGTTCAAGGGAAAGACTGTAAACAAGGTTAATGGTACATAGGTTAAAGTATACCACCCCCCAAATTAAGAAAAACAAATTCTGCTATAGTACCATAATCCTCATTTGAATCACATCACTCCACTTTACTGTTATCTTTTTTAAACCTGCAGAATTTACTGAAAGCAATGCTTTGGTGGACTCAAGTACCATTTTACAAGATGAGAGGCATCATTTTAGACAGAAACCTCTAATTAGGAAACATAAAACTTCAGGGTATATAAAATTTTATTTCTTTTTATAAAGCATTTAGCCTATTGACCCAATTAAAAAGTAGATAAATCAACAAGTTGGCAAACTAATATTATGTTAAGTATTCATACGAACTCATCACTAATCAATATTTTGTTCCTATTAGTATGTCTGTCAATTTTTTATTTTAATTCAAAATAAAAATCTGAATCACTTTTATGTTATTATAAAGTGTATGATTTGAGAGCTAAGTAAAAAAGATAAACCAGTAAATTTCAAACATTACATTTAAATTTTCTATTATTTTCAACAGAATTTAGAATACTTATAAAGTTGTATGTATTTTTATATAGGAAAAAGGTTATAGCAATATACTACAAACAGAAAATACATTTGAGTATATCAATCTTTTAATAAGATACAAAACAAAATATTTTTCCATTTTAACAAGTTTTTAAAAATGTTAAATGACTCAAATATGATTTTCTATCCATAGCTTGGTAGTTAACCTTTTTATGCAGTAAACAAAAGTATCTGAAGATAAGGTCCATTCTAGAAAATGGTACTTGCCTATGCCAAATTTTAAGTAGTAATTGTATCAAAAAACTATACTGAAAAATTTAATGCTAAAGGTATATATATATATATATTTAAACACCTTAAAACAAACCCTCAAATCACACTCTTTTTAATGTGAACTTTGTCAGCACTGTTCATGTTGGCCAGATAATAACCAAGTTTTCTTTAATAAAGTAAACTGAAATGCATACCAGCAGCAACTACAGCTGGAGGAGGCGACCCTGCCTCACCACCGCTTGTCTGACTCATTGATGCTACAGATGTTTCTCTAGGTGGAGGTAATTGTAACTCCTTTGGGAGAAGATCATAGACAGATTCTGTTGAGAAGGGGGAGAAAATTTTTAAAAGAACATCAGTCAACTACCTAAATATATGTGTACAAAATGACATCATGTCTTTTCTCTCACAAAGAGAAATGTGTTACTTATAAAAAATAAACCCCATATAATTAATACTGGAAAAAATGTTAGCATATTATTTTTCTTTTATTATATAATTTTACTGACCTGAAGAAAGAATTTTCCTTTAGTTCCCCACTTAATTCCCTTGGCTTTATTCATTATATGTTTAACATATTTAATCACAGACAGTTCTTTGAGAGTTATTAAATTTTAAAACTAGTTAAACTAGACAGAATGAAAAGAAATATCAAATACCCTAAAACGGTCCAGTATCTTATCAGCATATACTACTAGTATATATGCTTTAAATTGTTTTCTCCAACTAGTCCATTAGCATTCTGCTCTTTCACATGTGTGGTACTGTAGATTAAGCACTGGATTGCTAACCACAAGTTTGCGGTTCAGAGCCACCAGCCATTCCTGGAAAAGCCTATACAGGGTCGCTATGAGTTGAAACTGACTTCATAGCATGTAACAACAATACTATAATGTATTTTTCCCTAAAAGAAGCTAAAAAGAAATATCATGGCGCATGGAAAAACTTCTTACCCCGTGAAGCATTGCCAAAGCTTAAAAACGGATAGGCATAGGATGCTCTTAAATCAGAAAGCATAAATACCTATAATTAGATAATGATGACCATTCTTTGTATATTAGGAATACCATACATTTAAAGAAGTTTATAAAACTTTGTTAATAAAATTCAGTTTATATCTACTAGTTAAAAATTTCTATTTGTGATTTCTTAAAAAGATACAATTTTCAAGATAACCTCTAAAGGCAATGCAATCAATATTATGAGAAATATATACCTGTTTTCAAAAAGAACTGAGGGATAGAGTTTAAGGATTAGTCTAGGTACTCCAACCAACCCAATATTCCAATAATTAAGTGTCAGCTATCTGCATGAGTGATTAAAAACATAGTTAGCACTGTAAGACAACTTATCCTTTGGTAATAGATAATACTTTCAGCTAGCTTATTACTACATTCATACTTTGATTAGCCAGTTAAGCACTTAAGTATGTATCCCAACTTTATTGTGGATTGGAATAGGGAAGAAGGACAAGAAGAAAAGCTAAAAGTAGAACTCTTATATGATTTTCACTCACAGTAAAGAATCAACTAAAAGTTTCTTTAGAAAAATCCTGTCATCTAAAACATGAAAATTTCATATTCAAAGAATTTGGAAAGTTCAGCATTTGAATATAATATGCCAAATTGAAAATGTTAAACTTGTTAAAAAGGTGCTAAGAGATTTAGGTAAGTTACTTTCATCTTGTAAACAAACTTCTATGTGGGGTGGGTTGACTGGGAAGGAGAATCTGATTATAATAGAAATGCCTTATCAACAAATGTTCTTTTTAATGCAATTACTTTTCTCAATTCAAGTTGAAAAGGAGTGTCCCTTAGATATATGAGAAGACTATTCCAACTTATTTGCTTTACATCCAAATAAAAAAGATTAAAAATTACAACAGCTTGAATGAAAAGCTAAAAGGATCTACCAAAATACATTTATATCAACAAAAAAAATTGTATCTTACTAACAGTTCAAATGTTGGACTGCAAGGTCAGTTCAAGCTCATCAGCCACTCCTCGGAAACCCTATACCACGTTGCTGTGAGTTGGAACCGACTCAGCAAGCAGGCATAAGAGTTCAATTACTAACAACAATTCACTAGTCTGTTTCTCTACTCCTATAATTGTAAAAATTAATCAATCTAATCAAAACTTTAAGGAGCTCTGGTAGCGTAGTGGTTACGAATCGGACTGTGAACCTTAAGGTCAGTGGTTCGAAACTACCAGCCGCTCCGCGGGAGAAAGATGAGGCTTTCTACTCCCGTAAAGATTTACACCCTCGGAAACCCTGTACAGGGTCGCTATGGGTCGGAACCGACTCGACGGCACACAACAACAACAATCAAAACTTTAAAGCCCGTTTTAGATAAAGCAGTCCACCTTTCCCAAAAGGTATGAAGTTAAGTCTGTATTTGTAGTACAAAAGCAATGTTAACAAAAGTACACTGGATAATGGAAGAGGGAAAAGTCAGAAAAGGTGGATGGGAATAGTTGCACAACTCTAAGAATGTAATCAATGTTACTGAATTGAACATGTAGAAGTTACTGAATTGGTGTATGCTTTGCCACAACAAATATCCCAAATGACAGTCACCACAACCTAAAAAACAAAACAAAAAAACCCTAAGTGACAAAGTACAAGGTCAAGTAGAAGGTGTAGGAAGCATGTATTCATACATGAAAAGTTGTATTTTTTTTTTTGATTCACTGACTTAAGTGTTTAAAAATGAAAGAGTCCTGTCTTGCCAGAAGTTTTATCATATCTATTCAAGGGAACACCATTCATCTCTCAATTTGTCATACTGTAGTGATTGCATGTTGTGATCCTAGAAGCTATGCCACCAGTATTTTAAATACCAGCAGGGTACATTCATGGTGGACAAGTTTTACATGAGTTTCTAAGATTGTATAACACAGAAGAGGAAGGAGAGGTAGACTACTTCTGAATATTTAGCCACTGAAAACCTTATCAATAGCAGTGGAACACTGTCAGATAGCACCAGAATATTGAATACTGAAACTTTATGAATAGCACCCAAATACTGGCAGATATAGTGCCAGAAGATGAGCTCCTCAGGTTGAAAGGTACTCAAAATATGACTGGGGAAGAGCTGCCTCCTCAAAGTGGAGTTGACTGTGATGATGGGAATGGTGTAAACCTTTTGGGATCTTCATTTGCTGATGGGGCACAACTCAAAATCAGGAGAAAGAGCTATAAAAGTCCATAAATAATCGGAACATGAATGTACAAAGTATGAATTTAGAAAAATTGGTTGTTGTTGTTATTAAGTGCCGTCGAGTCGGTTCCGACTCATAGCGGCCCTGTACAGGGTTTCCGAGGGTGTAAATCCCTACGGGAGTAGAAAGCCTCATCTTTCTCCCGCGGAGCAGCTGGTAGTTTCGAACTGCTGACCTTAAGGTTCGCAGCCCAATTCGTAACCACTACGCTACCAGAGCTCCTTTAGTTGTCAAAAATTTAATGGCACGCATAAAGAATGATATCCTAGGCATTAGCAAGCAAAAATGGACTGGCATTGGCCATTTTGTTTCTGACAATCATGGTTTATTATGCTGGAAAAGACAAACTGAAGAGGAATGGTGTCCTGTTCATCATCAAAAAGAATATTGCAAAAAAAAAAAGAATACTGCAAGATGATATTGAATTATATGCTGTCTGTGATAAGATAATATCTATACGTCTGTATAAGGAAGACCATTATTTCTTGCGGCCTTCCTTGTATGTTGTTATTTAAGTGCCATCAAGTCGATTACAACCCATAGTAACCCTGTAGTACAGGATTTCCAAAGAGTAGCTGATGAGCTTGAACCACCGACCTTGCAGTTCAAACGACTTTACTGTCTGACGCATTAGCCTACCGTGCCACACCAGGACTCCCTTCCTTGTATGTTGTTGTTGTTGTGAAGTGCCACTGACTCGATTCCAACCCATAGCCACCCTGTGTAGGGTTTCCAAGGAGCAACTGGTGAGCTTGAACCACCAACCTTGCAGTCTGATGCAACAGCCCATAGCGCCACACCAGGACTCTGATAGCGTAGTGGTTACGATCGAGCTACTAATCTCAATGTCAGCAGTTCGAAACTTACCAGCTGTTCCGTGAGAGAAAGATGAGGCTTTCTGTTCCCGTAAAAATTTACAGCGTCGGAAACCCTGTATAGGGTCAGTCACTATGAATCGGCACTGACTCCATGGCACATAACAATTTCCTTGTATAGGCCGATAGATAGATACTATCTTATTTTTAGATAATCCAGTGATGATGATATTAAAGAATTCTACCAACTTCTTTATTGTGAAATAGATCAAACATGCAATCAAGATATACTGATAATTATTAGTCATTGGAAACAAAGATGAAGGATCAACTGTTGGGAAATAACAATGACAGAAATGATGCTGGAAATCTCATGACAGAACTTCACAAGACCAATGACTTATATACTGCAAGTACCATTTTTACACAACAACTATACACATGGACATCACCATAGGTAATATACAAAATTAAATTGACTACATGTATGGGCTTTTCTACTCCCATAAAGATTTACAGCCTCGGAACCCTGTACAGGGTCGCTATGAGTCGGAACCGACTCCACAGCACATAACCACCAACAACCATATGTATGGGACTACATGTATACTCACTCATCTATGCCAAGAAATTTGGAAGACAACTATCTGGTTGACTCATTGAAAGAGATCTATCTGTATGTGTGCCCACTCCAAAGAGATGTGACCCAACGGAATGCGGAAATCATCAATCTCTTTGATACCTATGTGAGTATAGTTTTACTGAAAGTAATATAGTGCTCGCCTGACCTAGCATCGAAGGCTTGATAATCAGAACTCGACTAGAGGAAGATAAAAAAAAAAAGAAAAAAACAATTTTTGATAAAGGAAATGTGGTTAAATTGCTACAATTTGATGAGCCTGACCTATTCTCATGGAGGTAGTAACTCTAAATACCAACAGAGAGGCAAGGAGTCTTCACATTAAGTATCAATGCTATCCCCTCTGTACACAGGGCAGATACAGATGGGCAATTTAGACACTGGCTACCTAAAATGAGGGGGTGATAAAGACACGAAGTGACTGGCTTACAAGGTTTCAAGGGGGAGTTTAGTTTAAGAGCATGTGGGGAAAGAAAGAGTCCCCACTGAATAGTTTTCATCTTGGCTAGATGGGACTGGTGAAAAGCGATGGTGATAAGGTTCTTATGATCCAACAAAGAGCAACTGTTATCATGACTAATTGCGACTGTCACAATTGTAAAGGTAGAAGTTTTGTAACAAAAACGGGGGAGAAGTTAATC